GTTTTCCAACGGCAAAGGATAAACTTATATATAACTCATAAAAAGTTCACAGGTATGGCCAAATGACCACAAGGTACTTGAGCATACAACTTACACACAGGCAACATGAGTGAGACATATCCCCACTCTCAAAGGCTGCCTAGCCTCAAACTAACGCAAGCTAATAACAACATGCAAAAGATGTAGGGAACTGTATCGGGAAAATGAAAATAAGATGGCTAAAATAAAAATACCGAGGCCTGTGAGAACACAGTGTCCTTAAAACAGATTCGCCCCGTATGAGCGTCTGTTTCCCAGGATACAACGGAAGAACCGAAACTAATCCGGCGAACTGGAACTATGTCTGGACCAAAACAATTAAAACAATAATGGAGAAAAAGCCTTTATGTGGGTTTTATTTCTTTTCTTGGTGTTATCTCACTCTCGTAAGTACTTTCTTCCAAAGATGACAAGACCTTTATATAGCCTTAGGTAAGCCATACTCATTAACTCATGTATTTACTCCAACACTTAATATAGTTAAGTTAATGCAACATTAATCAAACCAAGTTACAAGTTTTAAAAAATGAAAACACGGTTTTAAATTAATATGTCAGTTGCAACTTTCATTCACAATTTTCCAACAATCCCCCACATGAATGAAATTGAAAATATTGTTATGGTCCAACAGTTGAAACCTGCATAGGATAGGTAGGTGTTACCCTTTGAACCTTCCCTTGTGAAAGCACATTAACTTTACTAGCTGACCAGTAGACGTGATGTCTTTGAACTGTTCTGCCTTTTGTGTAAAGGATGAATATACTTCACATAGGATTCTCCCTAACATATTCCAGTTCTCATTTTTATGTCCATTACTGGCCTTGGACATAGCCTGGTTCTGTAAAAGGGTCTAAGAATTGAGCCTCACACAATTCTCTTCGAAGCGGCCCCACTTCTCTCTCACATAGGTGATTCTTAATTACAAGTAGCCCGTACTACCTTCCCATGCACGAATCATTAAAAGCCAAATGCTTATCCTACTCACCACGGGAATCACTGTTTAAGGAATGGACAATGGATAATATCACACAGTGAACACAAGAGTCTTTTTACAATTAGGTTGTCCCTTTGAACCAAGATCTTGGGATCTCCAGTCAACAAGGTAGGGTTTCCATTGTATCAACTCATTTCTAGAGGCTTAAGTCCCATTCCTCTCAAAGATTTAGCAACCAACTCTCTATTTAACCCTTTGGTTAGCGGATCCGCAAGATTATCTTTTGACTTCACATAGTCAATAGATATCGTACCAGTTGAGAGTAGTTGTCTAATGGTATTATGTCTTCGACGGATATGTCTAGACTTACCATTATACATATTACTTTGTGCCCTGCCTATAGCCGATTGACTATCACAATGTATACAAATTGCTGGCACCGGCTTTGACCATCGTGGAATATCTTCTAAGAAATGGCGAAGCCATTCCGCCTCTTCTCCACTTTTGTCCAATGCTATAAATTCGGACTCCATTGTGGATCTGGCAATAACAGTCTGCTTAGAAGATTTCCATGATATGGCTGCACCTCCCAAAGTGAATAAATATCCACTAGTGGATTTAGAATCTTTCATATTCGATATCCAGTTGGCATCACTATAGCCTTCAATTACAGCTGGATATTTACAATAGTGCAAACCATATTTACAAGTATATCTCAAATATCTGAGTAATCTCACAATTCCTTTCCAGTGTTCTTCTCCTGGATTACTTGTATATCTACTTAGTTTACTCACGGCAAAGGCGATGTCTGGTCTAGTACAATTCATTAGATACATCAGACTCCCTATCACCCTTGAATATTCGACTTGAGAAATACTTTCACCTTTATTTTTCGACAGATGTTGACTTGTATCTATCGGGGTCCTAGCCTGAGTCGAATCATCCTTGTTAAATTTTTCAAGGATTTTCTCCACATAATGTGTCTGACTCAGAACAATTCCTTGTGATGTTCTATGAATTTTAATTCCAAGAATCACATCAGCTAGACCCATATCTTTCATGTCAAATCTTGAATTTAACATATCTTTTGTGGATTTAATAATTTTATCATTGCTTCCAACAATAAGCATGTCATCTACGTAAAGACATAGGATTACATAACCCTTTTCTGTGTCTTTAACATAAATACATTTATCACATTCATTAATTTTAAATCCACTTTGAACCATGACATTATCAAATTTTTCATGCCATTGTTTCGGAGCTTGTTTTAATCCATACAAAGACTTAACCAGTTTGCAAACTTTATTCTCTTGCCCGGGAGCAGAGAACCCTTCAGGTTGCTCCATATAAATTTCTTCTTCTAAATCTCCATTTAGAAAAGCCGTTTTTACATCCATTTGATGTATTTCAAGATTTCGTAAAGCTGCAATTGCAATAATCACCCTGATGGATGTTATCCTCGTTACTGGAGAATATGTATCAAAGTAATCAAGGCCTTCTTTTTGCTTATAACCTTTAATTACAAGTCTAGCCTTATACTTATCAATTGTTCCATCGGGTTTCATTTTCCTTTTGAAAATCCACCTATAGCCCAATGGTTTACTTCCAGGAGGAAGATCCACTAGCTCCCATGTGTGATTTTGCAAAATGGAATCAATTTCACTTTGGATTGCCTCTTTCCAAAGAGGTCCTTCAGAAGAATTTACTGCTTCTGAAAACGTTTGTGGTTCGCTTTCAACCATATAGGTTAGAAAATCTGGACCAAAAGATTTTTCTATCCTGCCTCTTTTGCTTTTCCGAGGTTCTACCTCAGTATATCCATCTTGATCTTTTTCCATTATTTCCAAATTTCTTTTAGTGGAACTAGAATCCACTTCAGACTTACGTGGAAATATATGCTCAAAAAATGAAGCATTTCTAGATTCAAGTATCGTGTTCTTATGAATTTCCTCAATTTTGGATTCATGTACGAGAAAACGATAAGCACTACTGTTGTGTGCATATCCAATAAATATGCAATCAACCGTTTTTGGTCCAATCTTTATTTTCTTTGGCGTAGGTATTGCTACCTTTGCCAGACACCCCCACACTCGCAAGTATTTGTAGGATGGTGGTCTTCCATGCCATAATTCATATGGACTTTTGTCTAACTTTTTACGGGGAACCTTATTTAAAAGGTAATTTGCTGACAATACAGCTTCCCCCCACATGTTCTGTGAAAGTCCAGAACTTAACAACATTGAGTTCATCATTTCTTTTAAAGTACGATTTTTTCTTTCCGCAATCCCATTTTGTTGCGGTGAATAAGGTGCTGTCATTTCATGTCTTATCCCATGTTGGGCACATAATTCAGCAAAAGGTGACTCATATTCACCTCCTCTGTCACTTCTTATCACCTTAATCTTTTTATTTAGTTGATTTTCAACTTCATTTTTATAGAGAATAAATTTCTCTATCGCTTCATCTTTACTTTTGAGAAGATACACATAACAAAATTTAGTGCTATCATCTACAAAAGTAATGAAATATTTATTTCCACCACGTGTCGTGACAGCTTTTAAATCACATACATCAGTGTGAATTAAATCAAGTGGTTCACTATTTCTTTCAATAGTTTGAAATGGTAATCGTGTCAATTTTGCTTCAACACAAGTTTCACACTTATGTTTTGAATCAATATGGAACATAGGTATGCTTTTCAATTTTATTAACCTGCGCAGGGTATTATAATTGACATGTCCCAGTCTACCATGCCACACAATGGAAGACTCAAGCATATAAACAGAAGGATTAACATTTTTATTAATTGTCATCACATTGAGCTTAAAAAGCCCATTACATTCATAACCCTTCCCTACAAATGCTCCATTTTTGGTCAAAATGACCTTATCAGATTCAAACACTACACGAAAACCATGTTTAATCAATAAAGAACCAGACACTAAGTTCTTACGAATTTCTGGTACATAAAGTACATTATTAAGAGTCAATTCTTTTGCAGATGTCATCTTCAGTACCACTTTTCCCACTCCTTTGATGTCAGAAGTGGCAGAATTTTCCATGAAGAGCTTTTCTCCATCCACCGTCTCGTCAAGGACATTAAACAGTTCCTTGTTTGAGCAAAGATGACGGGTAGCACCCGTGTCAATCCACCATTCATGTGGATTTGAGCCCACCAGATTTACCTCGGATATAACTGCTGCGAGGTGCATCTCATCAACATCTTTGGCCAGGTTTTCCACCATGTGGGCTTCTTGATTTTTCTTTGGCAACCTGCAATCAGATGCCTTATGGCCATATTTATTACAATTATAACAATTTCCAGAAAATTTTTTCTTGAAAATTTGTTTATTTGGCCCCATTACTGCTTTGCCAGTATTACCACATTTTTTCTTATTATTTTTACGTGAGCTTTCACCGTGCTCGACAACATTAACCTTGGCAAAAGAAGGATTAACCAATTTATTGTCATAGCCCTTGTTGTCTTCTTCAATTCGAAGTCTAACAACGAGCTCTTCAACAGTCATCTCTTTTTTCTTATGTAATAAATAATTTTTAAAATCTTTCCAACTCGGTGGAAGCTTTGCAATTATGGCAGCCACCTGGAAAGTTTCATTCACTACCATTCCCTTGAATGGATGTCATGCAAGATTATTTGAAGCTCTTGCACTTGACTAATTACAGTCTTCGAGTCAACCATCTTGTAGTCCAGAAATCGGCCTACAAGAAACTTCTTGGCTCCAGCGTCTTCGGTTTTGTATTTTTTATCCAAAGACTCCCACAGCTCCTTCGCTGTCTTGATAGAACTGTACACGTTGTACAGCGTATCGGCCAAGCAATTCATTACATAATTTCTACACAAGAAATCTGAATGATTCCATGCATCAAGCGCACTCACAGCTTGAATATCCGGATTTTCCCCCAACTTTGGAGGATTTTCCGTCAAGAACCTCGCAAGGTTCAACGTAGTAAGATAAAACAACATCTTTTGCTGCCAGCGCTTGAAATTCAAGCCATTAAATTTTTCCGGTTTATCAGCATGATTTACCGGGACATTAACAGAAGGAGGAATAGTAATTGTAGCAGCACCACCGGTATTAGCAACGCCAATAGTATTTTGTTCAGCAGCCATCTTTAATCAGAATCTGTTTTAAGATTGTAGGGAACTGTATCGGGAAAATGAAAATAAGATGGCTAAAATAAAAATACCGAGGCCTGTGAGAACACAGTGTCCTTAAAACAGATTCGCCCCGTATGAGCGTCTGTTTCCCAGGATACAACGGAAGAACCGAAACTAATCCGGCGAACTGGAACTATGCCTGGACCAAAACAATTAAAACAATAATGGGGAAAAAGCCTTTATGTGGGTTTTATTTCTTTTCTTGGTGTTATCTCACTCTCGTAAGTACTTTCTTCCAAAGATGACAAGACCTTTATATAGCCTTAGGTAAGCCATACTCATTAACTCATGTATTTACTCCAACACTTAATATAGTTAAGTTAATGCAACATTAATCAAACCAAGTTACAAGTGTTAAAAAATGAAAACACGGTTTTAAATTAATATGTCAGTTGCAACTTTCATTCACAATTTTCCAACAAAAGATACATTAGATACAAAAATTAGATCAAACATCTCTGCTTGGACCGAGTTCTCTATTCCTTGAAACTCTGATTTTCTGTTTATAGCATCCACCATGGCTTGGGAATCCAGCAAACATGTGAAACCCGACCATTTCTCCTGCTTATATCCAATTACACTAACACCAATATCTAACTCTTTACTTGCCGAAATCCTTTATTACCAATTAAAGTAACACCAATATCTAACTCTTTACTTGCCAAAATCCTTTATTATTTAGCAGTCTATTTCAAATAGTGTATTAATTAGATGAAAAATACCAGATGAGTCAGTTCTTAATCCACATACGGATGTAAACAAATCAAACGTTTAGGGATGTAAACAAATCAAACGTGTTCGATTCTATTCGTGGGTTGTATTTAGTATTCGTAATCGTATTCATGAAAACTCGAATTCAAATTCAATTAAGAATCATTTCTAGTATTCAAAGTTTATCTTAATTAAAATCTGAATTGCACATATTTGATTCAAAATTATGAAATAATAATATATTTACATATTATTTTAATATAAATTTAAAATCTCACTTAAGAATCATTTCTAGTATTCAAAGTTTATCTTAATTAAAATCTGAATTGCACATATTTGATTCAAAATTATGAAATAATAATATATTTACATATTATTTTAATATAAATTTAAAATCTCACTGACAACTAATCATATNTATGTTAAGCATCCCAAATTTTCAAACACAAATTAATGATCCATTGAAATTATGATCTTGAAAATGTCAGCCAACAAGACTTTACATCAGTTTGAACTCGGACTGACTTTTCAACTGCGGACTTCGGACTATTCGTTGCTCTTTAAAATCCAATCCAACACCAAATCCCAAAACCACACATAATAATAAATTAAAAAATAATAATACTGAGAGAGCAAAAGATCATAGAATCAACCATGCAAATCATCTGGCTCTATCCATCCCTTACTCTCCTCTTCATCCTCCTAATCTCCCTCAAATCACTCTCCCTCAGGTCCAAAAACCTCAAACTCCCGCCAAGCCCGGCCCGCGCCCTCCCTATCTTCGGCCACCTCCACCTCCTCAAGCCCCCCATCCACCGAACCTTCCAGCACCTAGCCGAGCAAGTGGGCCCCATCTTCTCCCTCCGCCTCGTCAACCGCCTCGTGGTCGTCGTCTCCTCCCCTGACCTCGTCCATGAATGCTTCACCGAAAAAGACGTCGTCCTTGCCGACCGTCCCCGTCTCATCTCCGGCGAGTACCTCGGCTACAACTACACCACCCTCGTCGGCGCCTCCTACGGCGATCACTGGCGGAACCTCCGGCGGCTCGCCACCGTCGAGGTCTTCTCCGCCGCGCGGCTCAACTCGTTCGAGTCCGTCCGCCTCGACGAGGTCCGCCTCCTAATCCAGAAGCTCCACCGGGCCTCGTCTGCGGGCTTTGCGAGGGTCGGGCTCAGGCCCAATCTCTCGGAGGCGACGTTCAACGTCATCATGAGGATGGTGGCCGGGAAGAGGTACTTTGGGGAGGGTCATGATGTGGAGGCCGCGGAGTTCCGGGAGATGATAGAGGAGGTTTTTAGCTTAGGTGGCGTGTCCAACCCGGCCGACTTTTTTCCAGCGCTGAGGTGGATCGATTACAAGGGATACGAGAAGCAAATGGCGAGGGTGAGCGCGAAAATGGACGCGGTTTTGCAGCGGTTGATTGACGAGCAGCGGCTGAACGAAGGCCGCAACACTATGATAGACCACTTGCTTTCCCTACAGGATGAGGAGCCTGACTACTACAATGATGTCACCATTAAAGGGCTTATTCTGGTAACTTTCTGTTTTAATTTATTGAAAGTGGATTAATGTTTGTATACAAAAAAATTCACGCAAAATTTTATTCAATTCAAAATCTAACTCAACTTTAACTTAACTTCAATATCCTCAATATTATCAATATAATTATATAATATCATCCAATAATTCTTACACATCATATCTACTTTAATTCACTATCCATCCACTCATATAATTTTAACTAATCATCACTTCATATCATCTCTCTTATTTTTACATCATATCAACTTTAATTATTTTGTTTTAAATATTATTTTAATATAAATTAAAATCCCACTAACAGCTAACCATACCATCTTTTTCCAAATTAATTCTAATTAACGAAAAAAAAATCCATTTTGACTAAAAGCTTTTGTATAGAAACATGCCTTAAATGTGGTTCTTGTCGTTTTACGTCGACTCGGACTAGTCAACGACCATTTATTAAATAAACTTTTTAAAATCAGTCCAACTATTTATCTAATACTAGTAACGTGCACGTGCGATGCACGTGGTATCGAATGATTTTCGCTGAGTAAGTTTGTAAAATAAATTAATTTATTTATTATACATATCATTGCAGGAATGAAATAAAATATAGAACAAATGAATTCATATGTGATTCTTTTTATTTAGAATTAACGTAATGATGTTCTAATATAAAAAGAGTGAAATAACGTTTTAAACCCCCAACTAAAATATATGAAAAACAAATCCTTAATAACAAAAACACTAAGATTTTCTTTCATCTTTCTAATAAGAAACATTCATACTCGTTGGAGTCCAATACATAAATACTATTGCAAAATTCCTCTTAATTCATTTGGCAAAACGCTAATTTTTTTCAAACACTTAAGAAACATTCTGACCCAACATATAGTCAAACTTCATGATCGTATAATCTTTATAATAAGGTACTTCTAGTAACAATGCATAAATATCTCTATAAAATACTAACTGTGTCATTAAAATTGCTGGTATTTTTTATCATTGTATAAAGTACTACATTCCTCTGTCTCTAAACATATTGGTGTCTACCCCATTAATGCATTGCCCCACGAGGTGGGAATGAATTTTATCTCCAAATAAAAGTTGACTTTCCAAAATTTTGGTTACATGTACTTCTTCCGAGGTGCTAAATTATTTTTTGAAATCATCATACATTACTTGAAAGTACCTCTAAAGTAATTGTACATATGTTCGAGTACAATACACCAATGAGATTATATATATTTCTATAAAAAGTGACAACTTCATTCGAACATTCAAAACTGTTTTGATATGCCGACATTGTTATTTATTTGGAATATAGACGAACAATATAATCTATTATTTGAAAATTATTGACCATCATGGTTGTTGTAATGATTTTAGAATTGTTTATCATAATATCTTTCACATTCGTTTGAATATGCAATATTTGTGTGCCTATAACTTCTTTAATGCATTTATTGTCCAACATTATTCATCATACAAAATAATTATAAAATTTAAGAAAAAGATCATTTCTTTATTCTCCAACAATGACAAAACAAAACAATCAAAACAATGAGAAAATATTGAGAAGCATATCATTTGTTAAAATATTTGATAGGAGAAGAATTAGAATTTTATTATATTACGATACTCTTAGTCATCTGCAAAGTTTATTATTATGGAGTCATGATTGAAATATACATTATGTATTACAAATTTTTGGACTTTTTAATTATTTAAAATTAAAAATAATTAATATAGGATCATTATTTATGAAAACTAATTTCTTACAGAGTCCATATATTTAAACGCTAGCAACAAAAAAGTAGTAATTTTCAAAGACTTTTTGTTTGTAAATATTGGTATTCATACTTCTGTACGAAAATTTACAAGTATTCTTTTTCTCATTGTGTTACTATTATATTATATGTTTCTTATCCTATAGACAAATAATATTTTATTTGCTAAATAATTAAAGCACATTTATATGTATTGCTTTATTTTTTTGTATGTATTTTATATAATGATGTTTTCAAATTATCTTTTTTTATTAGGCTACAACTACTATAATCACATAAGATACAATGTAAATTTAATATATTTGATAAAAATGTACTTTTTATACGAATTATTAGATTAAAAACTTTACAATTTTTTCCAATGTTTGATAAAATGTTAAGTAACTAAGTCATTTTTATAATCACTGAATATATATATATGGTACCACCATTATAGGGTTCTTTTTCAAGCAGTAATTGAATAATCGTTTAAAGTACAACTCATTTATTTGTCTTTTTAATTCACATAGCTAATGTTATCTCATTTCCTTTCTCTGGCCTAGTCTTTTCTTTCTTTTGTCTATGACTTCACTTCGCTTTGCTTCGTTTGTACCTAAGGTGCATTCGCCATAGTTTCAGCATTACGGCAAACCACTGTCAAATATATATCAGAAATGGGCGCTCTAGCCAAAACGTGGGAATAGTTGTAAGTTTACCTCTATTTTTTTATTTTTTTTAATATGAACTGTTTCAAATTTATGTAAGAAAAATATACCACAAGTTTATCTTATGTTATTTTATACTTAATAAAATTGATTTAACTTGAATAAAAAAAATTACCAATTTATTATTTTTAAATTAGTACTGAAATATATATATGTATATATATATATATATCGATATAAATAATTATATTATTTTTATTTTATTTGCAATATATTGGTCAACTCAAATATTATTGAAAAGAAATGATGTGATATGTTACATATAAAAAGAGTAACAAATAAAAAGTATGAAGTATTTCAAAATAAAAAAAATTTAATGATAGAAAGTAATGTGTTGATTCCAGGAACTCCCTAGCCACTCCTTAAATTTTTAACTAAAAAATTTTAAGATCAACATACCCAATTTTTAAAGATATATATATATATATATATATATATATCTTAAGTATGTTTTATACAGTAATGCTAAGCCAACAGTTGACTCCTTAGCATTACTGATGTTTTGTATTTCTCATTAGCCAGCTCCAATTGATATTGTACATTAAGTAATTTTATCAGTATTTTTACTCTTGGATTTAATGAGAGCTATAAGTTTTCTCATCATTCTTACCCTTTATTTAGTTATTCTAATACTATTAAATAATTAAGGACCTTTCAAAGTATCTTGTTTGTTTTGAAACAAAAATTACTTATTATCATAAATTAAACGACACTTACATTGAATGTGTTATATTTTCTATCATATCAAAAATTTCGTAATAATAGTTGCAAACAATATTATATATAATGTATTTTTTTTATATAGATTTGGAGTCCTACTTTTACTACAAGAAAATGAGAAAATTCCAACAAAAATTACAACAAGAATATAACGATCTTCTTAAGTTGAATTGAGAAAAATCATGTCTTTTGGTTTCTTAAATATATTTTATCTTATTGTGATTGTATTGATTTATTAAAATGTATAACAAAGGAGAAAGGTGATAAATGATGTAACGTATAATTTATAAATTACAATGACATGTTATTTTAATGATATATTTTTTCTATTAACTAAATAATGCCCCAATATGAAATTATTTTGGATCTATCACTGCAATTAGCTCTCCAATAGAATTTTCATTGAATTTTTGCACTATTCCAATGACAGTTTTTCCAACGATTGAATATATGGTCCAAAAAAAATTCCAATGGAAATTCAAGTAATTGAAATCTTTAAATCCACTAAAGATCATGTAATTTAATTTGAACTCAGTAGGAATAGCCAATGAAATTTACCAATGAAAGCAATATTTATGAAATATTCATTGGAATTTTCTGTAGAATACCTTACCGTTGAATTTTTCATTGCAATATAGCAATTTGTTGTAGTCCTCTTAAACATTAATTTCTTATGTAGTATTTATTGATTAATAGTGTTTACAATTTTTCTATTAAAATATATTAAAAACATGAACTTTTTAGTTCCTATATTTTTTTTTTCAGAAATTACTCATTATTTTATCTCAAGATTACCTATTAATTTACCAATTGAGTTACATTTCTTACATATTAAATATTTAAAAATTAGAATATTTCTTATTTTATATGTTCAATATGATATTTATATATTATATTAAAAAAAACTAATATAGCAAATAAAAAGTTGTTTAAAATTAGAATAATAAAGATTTGCTTTTGGTAACTTACATGGATAAATGGAAAAATAACTATTGTCTATCACATCAAATTCACACATAAAATTATAAGGAAAAAAAACTAACAAGCGTTTAACAACTCAGCTCGTTTACATTGATAAGTATATTTATAAAAGGTTTATATTTCTTCTAATAATTATAACATTTTTATTTATTACTTTGTTTCATATTTATTAGTACGTGTCACAACTTATTTATTTCTAATATTATTTATCATATTTAATATTTTTTTAAACTTTTATCTTATTCTTTTACATGCTTTTAACTGTAGATTTGTCAAAAAATGCATAATATAAAGTCTAGATTTTTCGTTCATCTGTCTCATTATATATCAATTATTTCTATATCTTATATTATATTATATTTAATTACAATTTTTTTATTTATACTGTAATTGAATATTTATAATTCATACATTCCTCAGTAATATTGTCGAGTCAACTTTTGTTCAAAAAATTTTAAAAAACATAATTATTTACAAATATTTGCTTATGTTGAATTGAGGCAAGTTATGTTTTTCTAATGGTAACTGTATTGATGTGTAACATGTATTATATATGAGAAAGATGACAAATTATGAAAACTATAATTTATAAATTATAATGATATTATGTTATTTTAATGGTATACCTTTTCTATTAACTAAATAATGCCTCAAGTATGAAATTGTTTTGTATCCACCATTGCAAGTAGATTTTGAATAAAACTTCCATTGAAATTCTTACAATTCCAGTGACATTTTTTGCAACTGTTGAAATATGACCCGAAAAAAAATTCAAACAAAGATTCACACAATAATAAATAATGATAATTAGATTAATTAAATCAACTGAAATTTTAATATAATGTAATTTGATCTCTGTTGAATAGTCAATGAAATTTTACAATGACAGCTATACGAATAAAATATCATTTGGGATTTTCAGTGAATATGTCTTACCATTGGATTTTTCATTGCAATGTACCATTTTTTTATTCCTTTATAAATTATATTTTTTATGTAGGAGTTTTTGTTATTAATTAAATGTATTTATAATTTTTTATATTAAAAATATATTAAACACATGAACTTTTTAATCCGTATATTTTTTAAGAAATCCCTCATTATTTTATCGCAAGACTACCTATTAACTTATCAATTGAGTTCTTGGACATTAAATATCAAATAATACAAAATATTATTGTATATATATAATATGGTATTTATATATTATATTAAAAAACTAATAGCAAATAAAACGTTATTTAAAATCAAAATTATCAAATATTTTTTTAAAAAAAATAAAAATAAAATTCTAACCTACATGGATAAAAGTATAAATAATTATTGTCTATCGTCTAAAATTTATACACTGAACTAATAAATGCAAAAATTTAACATGTGGTGAACAATTTGGCTCGTTTACATCGATAAGTACAAATTTAAAAGTTCTACAATTACTTTTACTAATTATAATATTTTATTTATCCTTTTTTTTCATAGTTATTAGTAAGTGTTACAACTTAATTATAAATTTAATATTATTTATTAGATTTATTATTTTTTAACTTTAAATTGTTTTTTCATGTGTATTTTAATATATATGTGTCTGTGTGTGTATAACTTTTAGGTTTGTTAAAAAATACATAAAATTAAAGTATAGCACGCTTTTCAATCATATGTCTTATTTATATCAATTAATTTTATATATTTATATTATATTATATATAATTATAATCTTCTCATTTATACTCAAATATATAAATTTTTTATTTCGTACATTTTTTTTCTTAAAAACCATTTTATTATAATAACACCTATTAATAGATAGATGAATAATGATAATATATGAATATACTTTTTTGATTAAAATTAATTAGTTTTCAACATGTAAATCATATCATGATTCTCGAGATATTTTTAATTAATTTGTAGATAATTATATGGTTAAAATTAATCCATGTTGCTAAAGTGGTATCTCATTTGACGTGAAAACAAATAGATTAAGTTTTAGTATTAAACAATATCATAAAATTGTTCTGGTCTTATGTACCGAAGAAATTGAGTTGATTAGAAGTTTAGGTTGCAGAACAATCATTCAACAATTAATCTCGCATACTATTACACATTTTGTATAGGTTATTTTATTATGCTTTTTTTGTTGGATCAATTTTAATTTCTTTAAAGAACTTTTATATATTAGAGTTATAAAATGTGATTACAATATTACCATTAAAATTATATTAAAAATAATGACGTTTTTTAAAACAACAATTCTATATCCTATCAAATAGTTCTAGAGATATGTGGAAGAAAACAAATTCGTGAGAAATAATGGTGCCAAACCAACATATTGTAGTTGATTTTAGGAGTATGGAATGATTTGTTCATGTAGTTGTATGTAATTAATTAAATATTAATTATAATTAAAAATATAAGATATGATGGACATTAGTATATTACTAATTTTCCATTAAAAACATGTCAAAGTAAGAGTTTTTTTAGAAACTTATTTTGATATTTAAAAATATAAAATATGACGTGTATTAGTGTATTACTAATTTGCCATTAAAAATATGTCAAAGTAAGGGTTTTTTAGGTAGTTCATATTTTTACAAAAACACTCGTCCTTTTATAGTAGTATAGATAGTATAGATAGATAGATATAGATATAGATATAGATAGATATAGATATAGATATAGATAAATGAAGGGTTCACATGAATGCATGATATATGCCAATTGGTAGGTTATGCTACTCGCCGGGACAGACACGACATCAGTGACGATAGAGTGGGCCATGTCCGTCCTACTTAACAACCCGGAAAAACTTCAAAAGGCCAAAATCGAGATCGACAATTTCGTCGGGAAAGACCGACTGATCAACGAGTCGGATGTGTCCAAACTACCTTATCTTCAACACATTATCTCGGAGAACTTCCGATTGTTCCCGGCAGCGCCATTGCTCATACCGCACGAAGCATCGAGTGATTGTACCATCGGAGGGTACGACATACCACGTGGGACGATCCTGATGGTCAACGCGTGGGCCATCCACAGGGACCCCAAGATTTGGGATGACCCAACCAGCTTCATTCCGGAGCGTTTCGAAGCTGGAGAGGTTGGGCCGACAAAGCTGATGCCGTTTGGGATGGGAAGGAGGTCCTGCCCGGGAATGGGCCTGGCCCATCGTGTCGTGGGCTTAACCTTGGGGTCTCTGATTCAGGGCTTTGAGTGGCAGAGGACTGATGAGGACTTGGTCGATTTGGCGGAAGGGACTGGGACATCGATGTCCAAACTGATACCGCTGGAGGCCATGTGCAAAGCACGCGACGTTCTTCAGAATGTCTTTCATGGGCAAGCGTGAAAATTTGATTCCACTCTGCTGCTGCAGTTTGATGGGTTGCAATTGTGTGTTTATTATATGCGTATACAGAATAGTGTGAAATGTTCTCTGAAAAATAAAACAGTATCAAATAAAAAATCCCGATGAATTTTATCGGTGGGCAAATGCAAAATTATGGAATTACGTACTTGATTAGTTGCACACTGATCACATTACTTTCATTAATCACATTCATGTAACTGAGACAATACAATATCACGTGCATCAGCTAACAAAATTGTGGCCCAAAGAAATTTAGGTGTAGAATCAAGCCATAGGTTTTGGACCCATGTTAAAAGAAACATGTTCACATCGATTAAAAATACTTTTTGAAAATGGTGTTGAATCAAGCGATATAGAAAGTCTGATCTTTTCACATTGGTTTGAACCGATGTGAAAAGAAATAGTTCACATTGACTTTCCGATAAACCAATGCCATAAGGGCAAAAATAAGTCTTCGAAAAAGGGAAATCGATTTGATGAAACTTTTTTCACGTCGGTTTATTGAAGAACCAATGTAATAGAAGCTTTTAACATCGATTTTTTATGAAAGACGATGTCACAAGACTAGAGTGCACATCGATTTTCATTAACGGACGTGCCAAATCTTTTGCTTACAGCGGTTATTGATAAAACCGTTGTGTACACGTTGTGACTTTAGTTATTGACAGAACCGGTGTACGAAGTTGTATGCTTACATCGGTTTATTTAATAACTGATGTAAAATGTTGTCACTGATACATCGGTTTTCTAAAAAGTAATGTAAAATCACTCTTTTACAACGGTTTTATTTGATTAATTTTTATTTTTTTTATTTTTTTATTTTTACTTCTGAATCTAAAAATCTATTACTATAAAATGATAACATTCATAAATTAAAAATAGTCCCATAATTCACCAATAGGGTACTTGTACAATCCACCACAATATTTTTATATAACAATAATTCTCGAATGCACTATACCAACAATAGTTTTCAACTACAATTTGTCATAAAGTTTAAAATCCACAAAACATAAGCAAACTGATCGAGCATATTTTTCTATTGAAGTGATCTCCAGAAAGTATTTAATCCAACACCTATTTATATCCTCAATTTCCTCATCTGAATATGGTTCATCAATGTTCAATATCTGCATGAAACAAACAAATATTCTCTCAATAACGTGTATTGAAGTGTGTGATTTCGAATACAGTAAATGATTGCTTTCAATAAAAATTTATCTCGTCGGACGAGTCAACAATGTCAAGTGATATAATCTCTAACATATACCTTATAAAAACATCATTTATATTACACAAATTTAATCGATGCACACAACCAACAAAGAAAAATGAACGCTCTAAAATCAAAGTCCTTTAACATCATTCAATAAATTTACCTGTGAATGAACCTACGTAGGCTTCTTTATTTTATGATTACGTTTTCTCTTAACTACGTGATATGTATGAAATTCACTGTAACACAATAAATATTCACAATAAAACATAAGTCAAAATATAAGGATAAATATATTTCAAATAGATTATAGGAAAAGTTAATTACAAAAGTGATATAATTTATCAATTTAAAAATATACGTATCAGTTTTATCTTTTAACTCTTTCTCGGGTTTTCTTCTCAACGAGTATAACCAAAGCACAACATTCTGTTTTAAACTAAGCATCATCAACTGCCAATGTTCTCTGTAACGATTCATTTTAATAAGAGCATAGCATTTGCATTTCATATTTAGCTCGCCATTGTCTAATCCAAATCGTTTAATCCAAAAATTGAATTAAATAGATGTCCTCGTCTATTTAATTTATCAATTCAAATTGAAAATTAAGTAGATGTCCTCGTCGACTTAATTCTTCCTTATTTGCTAGTAGTTTATTTTGGTACTAAGTGTTAAATTTCTTCTGATTGGTCGGAAAAAGTGTATATTTTATATACTTATTAGCGTATTTTATATGCTTAATTTTTATCGTATTTATATGTTTTTCGATTTATTTATTTATTAGATGGAATTGAGTGCTATGATATTTTTGTGCATTATTTTCAGACTATTGGGCTACTTTCATAGACGGCGAGATATTAAATGAAAGCTCCGATCGGCAGAATATGGGGGTGTCCCGTACTGCCCCGTACTGACCGAACAACACCACATATTCAGAAATTAATACAATTGAGGCAGGAATTTTTTCTAAAATTGAAACGTGGGCCAGAAGAACTAGTTAGCCCAATGTCAATTTGGAAATTATTTGGGGCTTTGAGGAATTGAGTTTGGAAGCAGGGAATTTATTGAGGAAATTACACTCCACACTAACATAATTCATTTGTTTAACACTTTTGGGCCTATTAAAAGACTATTTATAAAATTACCAAAAGAAGCTAAAATATTTTCAATTATACCTACAATATAATTTAACCGTTACAAACGTGTTATCTGCACATTAAAAGGAAAGGTGATGTTTAATTGATTTTAAAGATATACTTAACTAAAAATTAGGAACAAAAAAGGAATTCTCCAACCAAAAACCCCCCACCACCCCATCTCTGCAAATCTGCAAAAAGAGCTCCGAAATCTCCCCCAAAATCTCCACATCTCCGACTCCGCCTTCAATTTCTCCGGCGACAACTCGTTCGCCACCCTCGCTGCCGACGAGGACGCCTCCTTCCGCCTCGTCGATACCTCGTCCAAATCGCACCACTACAACCCCAACCGCCCCAAGTTCAACCCGATCTGAATTTACGGAGGATTATAATTGCTCCAAAAAATCAATGAGGTTCTGCAAATCACTTCTTCGAAAGTTGATCCAAATCAAGCTGCACACTTTTCTGTAATACAACTTGTAAAATGCCCAATTCTATTAAAAGAAAAAAAAAATGAAATACAGTGTGAATGCTTATCTCCTTCAATTTTGAAGAAAGTCGATCTCCTTCTGTACAGTATATGTATATCTCCTTCAGTTTTAGACGATAGTATAAATGATTTTTTCTGTGTATATGTATGGTTTATATTTAGTAAATTTTCGGTATATGATAAAGAAATTTATCGCGAGTTTTTTTTTCTGTGTATATGTATGGTTTATATTTAGTATATTTTCGGTACATGATAAATAAATTTATCGCGAGACATAATTTTTATGTATAAAATTAATTTATATTCAACATAAACTGATTTTTTTTTTGTTATGTATATGTATGGTTTATATTAAGTAACATGTTATATTATGTTTATAAACTATATATATACTTTTATGTATAAAAGTTAAAAAAAAAAGGAAGACATAATTTTTTGATGGAAGACATGTTTTTCATTGCAACATATACTGAATATATACTCACATAAACAAAAAATATACCACCTGACAGGTGCGTGGATTAGGAATTAAGGAATTCCAACTGCGCACATATACTGAATATATACTAACATAAACACAAAATATACCACCTGACAACTGCGTGAATTAAGGAATTCACGTTACGAATTAAGGAATTAAATGAGTCAGTTTCTCTCTCTTATGAGTCAGCTATAATTAAGGAGCTACAATTAAGGAGCGTTTTATTTATATGGTTAGTTACATGAGGTATACTTATAATAAAATCCTACATTTTATGTATAGATAAAATTAAATTTGTCCCACTAGTAAAAATGCAATATTTTACAATTCTAACGGGATGAGTGAAAATTTCCCGAATTTATTTGCCATGCGTAGTCATATACACACAGGCCCTAGGATATGAATTAATTTTTCCCAAACAGAGATACACCCACACAGCCGCCATCATTCACGCAGATCAGAAAAGGAGAAAACAATGCAGCCAGGGAAATTCACGGAGCAGACGCACTGGAAAGGAAAGGAAGGAGACATACGCAGAGAAAAAGGGAGCCGCCAGACCTCAGGAAGAGAAGAAAAGAAAGCCGCGCGTAGAAACACACAGAGACACGAGGGAGCAGATTAATCGCGGAGGGAGGTCGCACCCACACACGAAAGGGGATAATTATATTCTTCTCTTTTCCTTTTTATTTATTATGTTAGAGTAGATTTTCTTTCTAGTTCCGGGAATGTCGAAGCCTATCACTTGATTATGTTTGATTAATTTTCGTGGTTGATAATTTAATTATCTCTTTGAAATTGTTTGTGTTATTTTGACTGAGCAACCATGATGTGTTTGATTTTATTTGGAGTGATCATCTAGATAAGATTTTTCATGTCTAATGCTAGAATTGAACTTGCAATCCGTAATTGTTGTTGGGTTTAATTCATATGAGCAACCGGAAGATGGTAACTACCGGGGATAACACAACCTATTTAAGTGAACGAACGCGGTTGAGTTAACTACTTAGTCTAGTCTATTTTTTATAATTCGTAAAGCGGCTAATTGTATTAAATCTTGAAAACGTTTTTCTGGACTGTACAGAAGTCAGGTTTAATCGTAGAGCGTCTCGCGGTTAAATTAGAAATAAGAAAAAATTCGGGTAGCAGACCTTGTCGTTACCTAGTGCTAGTAATTCCATAAGATAGCGAGATTTGATACCAAAGTTGATTAGATGAGCCGATTAAGGGTATAGACGGAACCATGAACTAGATTTTTTCTTTATTTATTCTCTTTTATTTTTATTTTATTTCATTGTTTAGATTTTATTTATTTAATGAGGATCTTAGTTTTTAATCCAATCCCCCCATTTATTGCTTTATTATTTTCAGTTAATACGAGAAGTATCACAATTTGATTTACACTCCTTGAGGGATCGACCTTTACTTGACACTACTACTAGTTAGTAGAGGTTAGTTAAGGAAAATATAAATTATAAATTTGTCGCGTTGCGACGCGCGGTCATCTCTTAAGTTAGCTAAATCTTAAACATTCCTAAGTTTCGCAAATTTTCTAAGTTCTAAGCTTGGCTATAATTTTTCATAAGTCGAAGAATTTTTTTTCCATTGGCCATATTCATTTTGCGTAAGTTCTAACATTGTCTAAGTATATTATTGGCCATGTGTTACTAAAGAGCAAAAGTTGTGCCTTACATTTTATTAAAGTATCTCGGCCACCTATGTACTAACCATATAGTACATTTTGAATTTGAAACTAAAGACAAGACCAAGTCTTGTAACCACCCTAACTCCCACTCCCCTAATTTCGGTCATGCAGTAGCCACACCTCAACTCCAATCACGAACGATGTTCGTGATA